TTTCAATCCAACGGTTCAACGCACCAGAGCAACTTCTGTTGTTAAATCATTCTGCAATTCTTGTTCAGGTAGAAGGGAATCAGCCAAAGTAATTAACCTCTCTAATTTCTCCAGGGGTTTTGCTTTAAAGCCAGGCTGAAAAAGCACAATTTAATGTTGGGAGTAGAGAAAAAGATTTAATGAAATTTAAAAAAAAAATTCTACAAAAATACTAGATCAGTAAGATAAATCAAAATGTTAAATCAAAAATAATAGCAAATATTATTTTACTATTGTTAGATTGTCTCAAAGCTGCTCTTTAGGATTGAAATTAAGCACAGAAAGACCTGCATAGTACATAAAAACCCCAACGACATATATGTAAATAAAAATAGGAGAAAAATGCATGTGATTTAGTTCCCTACAGGGAGCTCTGAAGAAGCATTCAAAGATGAATAAACCAAGTATTTCATACAGGAATAAATACTACTTGGTGACTTCATAATTTAGGATTTTAAGATTAATCCACTGAGTGAATATCTTGCCAAGTCCTGAATGTCTCCAAGCTTTTTAACCAGGAAAAAATTATTTTCCTCATACTACAAAATCTGTTTAGTATTGGTAATACAAAAAAAAGATCCCATCTGATCAAATCTTTTTGACATAGCTCTTAAACAGGTGTACGGTCAGCGTGGCAGAAAGAAGAACCAAAACCTGCAGACTTACTGCTGGGAGAGTTTGGGCAGCGGCCGACCAAATGCAACCACAGGCAAAAACGGAGTGATCACTATAGCTTCAACTAGATGAGAGAAAAGAATTGAAATTAGAATTTTAAATAAATTCCAACACTTGTCCCCTTTTTTTCCCCCTTCCAAAACTAGATGATGAACCCTGCAGTCGTACCGTCTTCAGTTTCGGGGTAGAAGGACGACAGCTCGGGCTCGGTCTCCTGGACGGTCTTCTTCCTGTTCATGCGCTGCTGTAGGCGCTGGAACACGCGCTGCTCTCTGATTCGCTGGATGTCCCATCTGAAAACGGTAAAGAGGAAAATTCAACATGCATTACAGTCGCATTTAAAAATGCGACATATTCACACAGAAAATTTGAACCAAACATCCATCTGCTGATTCGCTACATTGACCACTGAAACATTGTTTAACTATGTTTTGATAACGCAAAACACATCCATGAATGAGTTTTTCAAACAGATTGAGGTTTTCTGGTTGAATATTTTATTTTTTAATAGAAAAATCAGGGTTGCAGGATATTTAATGTGTGTGCTGGCAATATTGCAGTGGGAGTGTTAATTGCCACAATAATTCATCAATAATGAATTATGACTGTAAAATTCTATCTAAAAGTTTTATTAGGTAAAAAAAAAAGCAACACCAGTTTGTAGTGACAGCAAATCCAAGTGTTGTCAAGGTATCAAGATAGATTTTTTTTTTTGCATATTGCAATAATAATTTGAAATATGTTGCATTGCAGTTTTAGTTCAGTTTCATTTTTGAACATCCACTTTATTTCAAATATGTATATATATTAAAAAAAAACATTCCCTTTCTGCATAACTTAGTGTTAATTAAACACCAAACTGCATTAATAAGTTTATTATTGTACCTTTTCCTCCTCTTCTCGTCCAGCTCCAGCTTCGCGTGGCGTTTCAGAAACGTGCCGTCATCCAGCGGCTTGAAGTGAACAGAAGTTCATACATTTTCATTAAAACCTGAAATGCTTCTGGACGCTTTGAAAATGGTTTCCTTTTTGATTTTTCTCACCTCTGGGATATTACAGGCATCCTCCTCCAAAGGCTCTATGTGGTTTTCCCTCCAAGAAGGAACTGACAGGTGGAAGGGTAGAAAAAGAAGGAAAAAGGAGAGGGGAGAAGGAAGTTATTCATAGACGGTGAATTCAGCAGAGTGGATTGCTAAAGTGATTGAAGTTGGGATTTAGGTTAGGCTTACAAACAATCAGCATATCATGTACTACATGAGGAGTCCACTCACTGGCCACCTCTTCCTCCTTTTTAGGGGAAGTCTCACGTAGAGGGGACAGAGGAGGTTGGTTCCAGCAACACAGATACATCTCTGTGGTTGACATGAAGGGCAGATCCTCCATCTGGCAGCTCAGCTCGGCCTCCTCTTTCCAGGGGAGCAAAGCGTCCCTTTCTGTCCCGGGCCTGGCTGGGACCGACTTCTCTGGGGTTTCCTTACTGCGCAGCTCTCTTTGGTTGGGATAGCCAGGCTCCATCTCAGACTTCTGGGGGCTGAGCTTTGCGCTTTTACCCCGGGATTTCTGAACCTTTGCATCTCCGAAGCAAGTTTTCCTGTGTGTGCAACGAACCAGCAATTTTTTTTTTAACATCCAACCCAGGTGTTAGTAGCATGAGAAGTGATTGGTGCTGCTTATTTTACCTCTTTTGACCTTTGCCTCCTCGGCTGAAAGGAAGGGCAGTGGCTGAGTTGGGCTGTGGAGTCTCTTCTATGTCCAGATCCCACATGTCCTCTTTGTCAGGGGTCCACGGCTCCAGGGGCTGAAAAAGGCGCTTATCACGCGGCGTGTCCTTCCTTGTGAGCTGGAGACGACGCTCCATGCGCTCAATGCGTGCAAGCAACTGCATAGAATTTTTTTTTAAAGAAAACATACAACTTAAGAGAACAGAAGACACATCAAAGCGGTTTAAAAAAATAAAAACATTAAACGCACCGTCTCTTTATCTGCCTTGAGCTCATCAATCTCCTTGTCCTTGGATTGCAGCTGCTGCTGCTGCTGTTCGATGAGGTCCAGCTGCAGGAGGAGGATCTGTCGGAGGCAGTTAGCCTGTGCATGTGGACTTGCAGGGGTCTTCCTGATGTTCCTCCACTTTCCTTCGGAGGACAGTTCAATAGAAGCGGTGCCCAGAACTCCAGGCACAACCCCTCTTGTGCTATCCTCAGCACCGGCATCCTTTGGATTATTGTTCACTGCCATCTGAGGATTATCCATGTTGTCAACAGAGAGGGGTTTACCTTTCACTGGGGTTCCCTCACCCCCCATTGGTCTGACAGGGGACGTTATCCCCAGCGGTTTGTCTCCCTGAACCGTTTCTGGAGCTGTGGCAGCTAGGGCAACTTTGCTTGTCATGAAACTCTGATCTAAGTCCTTGGATCTGCTTGGGATCTCCCGTCGTTGCACGTTCTGAACATCTATAGCAAAGTCACAGGGCTCGTTCTTGATGCTCGCAGGACCCACGCTGTTCACTCCGAAGTCTTCCGTGTCAGCCTTACGTTTGAAACCCGGTTGTGGAAATTGTTTGGATCTCAGAGTCATGGCGATCACGGCCACTTCTCATCCTGCAACCTCACACCGACTTCCCATCTGGACGCAACAGCTGCAAAAAAAGAAGAAGCACACGCAAATACAGAAGTCAACATACAGGTGTTTGTTAACCGGACAGCCTGCTTTATGAGAGCCGGGAGGGAAACACGCACATCTGCAAGAAAATCTCCAGCTAAAGAATAATGGCAGATTAAAAATGCATCCTTTAAAAAAATCTCTTCCCGGATTTCAAATTCACGCTTAGTTGTGTTACGTCTGCGATACAGTAAATCCGAACCAAAATATTTAGTTTTGAAGGAACCTAACCTTCCATTTCTGTAGTCGGGCAGACATTTTAAAACAAGGGCTTCCAACAAGGACTCGGGAGTGGCTCTGTAGGACACAGGCAGCAGCAGCCAAGCTCCTCCATTTTGGTTCTCATGAAAAACAATAACAGCCAGCTAGCCGGCTAATGTTAGCCGGTTGCTTTTACACAACAAAATGTGTCGGCAGGGAAAACAGCGTGTTATGACTAAGTTGTAGCAGAACACATTAGCCCAGAGCCGCTTTTATTAACATGTTCTGGTGGGTTTCAAGCTTACCTCGACCACAACTCGAGTGAGACTTCAGAGTGTCTTCATGTTCCCTCCTCAAGACTTGTTTTAAAACGCTGCCGACAGCGCATGCGTAAAGTACTGGATGGCCATTTCTCGTTTCGGAGGTTTAATTCAGAAAAGCTACCACCAGGGGGCGGCAGCACACTCCCCACTAAATGCTGCATTATTAAATCCATGACGCAATGTTGTTATATATGGAGGACCAGAACTCCATAGTTACATAGTGTTTCTTTCCTTTTATGTTTCCAGCCAGAAATGGTTACTTTGAATCTCAAAATTAGGACATTGAATCTCAAAATATGACATGGAATTAACAATTATTGCCTTTTCGTCTCATAAGTTCGATTTTGAAACTAAAATAATGACTGTATTTCTCAATACTGACTTTACAACTCGTTAGGATTGAGAAATTTAGATTCAAATGGGATTTAGTCATTGATCATTTTTATTTTTAATTCATATTATTAGAACTTTGACTCAAAAATTATTATTCTTACATTCTATAATTTTGGAGTGTATTTCTAATTTGAACTGACATTCTTCATAATTCTGAGTTTTAATCTCAGTATTCTCAGTTGCCTCTCAATGACTTAAAAATTCAACATTATTTTATTCTTTGAGTGGTAATCCCTCCATCCATCCATCCATCCATCCATCCATCCATCCATCCATCCATCCATTGTATTATCTCAGTCAAAAATGGATGCTTGCAGAATTACTAGGACTTATACATTTTAAACGATACCTTGTTGAGATATTTATCCATATTGTTGACATATTTATGACTTTGAGTCCCATCATCATCAAGACTTTAAATATTAAAACTCAAATTTTACGATTGAATATTTTTAAACAATAAATAAATAAAAGTATGTCTTCAGCTTTCGCTTATCTCATAAATATTTCAGGACATCATCAAGTTGTAAAAGCAGACAACGTCAACGGGAGTAAATACTTTGAAAACATAATGACTAAATTTATTAAGAAAATTACAGACCTTAAATAAATAAATAAATAAATAAATAAATAAATAAATAAATAAATAAATAAATAAGTTTACAAAATTTCGCCAGTGCAGTTACGTACTTCCGGTAGCAGCTCGCCAGGGCAGCGGAAGTGAAAGTAACACGCTTCCGGCTTCACTCTATGGCCTCCAGTTAGACCTTCCTCATTGTTTACTATGAAATAAAACATAGCTGCACTGTTCGTGTGGTGAAATTAACCGACGTTCGCGTCGCTATATACAATATTTGGTCCATATCTCGACAGAATGCATCGCAGAGGCGTTGGTGCTGGGGCGATAGCTAAAAAGAAGCTAGCAGAGGTAAGTTCACAGCTGTTTTCATAAGATTTACGTCACTATTTTAACGTCTCTGTAACCACATAGTGACTTCTAAGCCTGGTTTTAAAAGACTTTGAAAAGTCTTGAATAGTGTTTTGATTTAATACAGTTTGAGATACAGGTGACTGTGACAACTTTTCAAAAGTCATCTAAAACAACTACGATACTTTATTAAATCTTGAAGTGAAATGTTTAAATCATCAGCTGTGATGGCAAAATGTCACCATAAAGACAGTGATTTAAGGTTACAAAATGTTTTGTGGCGTTAAAAAGTTCCATTTTTAAACTCTCATACGCCAAGGAAATAAAAGTTTATTTAAATCACACACCTGTCTAACATTGTGATCAAATCTAAAGAGAATCCATAATTCACTGTTAGATTGTGATTGTGTGTTTCATAGATGATTCCCTTGAGGCTACATGCTCTTTTACGTAAATGTTTATTCTTCCAAAATTTCCAGCGCTTGTATGTCTGCTCTGTTTGTTACTTTTCTTTAGGCCAAATACAAAGAAAGAGGAACTGTACTCGCAGAGGACCAGATAGTTCAGGTGATCTTGTGTTTGAGTCTGCCCTGTTTGTTTCGATGCATACATTTACCGTACAGAAATAGCACCTTATTCACTGAGTCTGTATGTTTTGTTTGTGGGCTAGATGTCAAAACAGTTGGAAACGTTCAAATCCAACCTTGAGGAGTTTGCCAGCAAGCACAAACAAGAGATCCGTAAGAACCCCCAGTTCAGGGTCCAGTTTCAGGAGATGTGTGCCACCATTGGCGTTGACCCGCTAGCTTGTAAGAAAATCCTGATTCTTTTTCATACGTTTTCCTCACTTTCCTTTCAAAGAAGCCTCAACTGACACCTTGAAATGTCTCGTTTTTTTTCCACAGCTGGTAAAGGATTTTGGTCTGAGATGCTCGGTGTGGGAGATTTCTACTACGAGCTGGGGGTACAGATCATTGAAGTGTGTCTCGCCCTGAAACACAGAAATGGAGGTTTGAGTTTGGCTTTTTTGAAAGATGATTTGTTCTCAGTGTTTTTACTGGAGCTCAAAAGTTACAACTCTGTCTCTGAATGTCAACTCAGTCCTTCAGATTATAGCCACCTCCAGACAGCTACAGTAATTTACAAAATAATCGCCTTTTAACTTTTACTACAACTTCAAACGATTGTGTCACAATAACCAATTAATCAAATAACCACATGATCAATTAAAATGAACTTGACAATTTCCACTTTGATGATTAGTACTTTTTCAAAGAGCAATATTATTTACAAAGAAACCATCATCTATTTTAGTTATGCTTTTGGTTACGAGTGTTTTTTTAAATTCTGTTTTATTTATTGCTTTTGGTGGTTGTGTTTTATTTTGAGCACTTAAAACATCTTGCTGTTCCAGAGTCAAGTGTTCTTTGCAAGATTGAAATTTATTGGTCGTTGACAGAGCAAAATTGCATCGCTATGTTATTGTCGATATTACACTTCAAAATTATCTAAAGAATGTATCATTTATTGAAATAATTGCTGGGACAATTCATTTATTTGTTATGGCGACAGGCCTAACTGTAGGAATACATTTCTTCAACAGGGACAGGAAAGCAAGTTATTCTCAATGGGAAGATACATGGAGTCTTTAGAAACTAAAGACTTATTCATAAGTTTGAGGTTCTAGTGGAACAAACTCTGAAAAGGTTCCCGGCGTATGAACACTCTGGTCTTGTGCCTCGGTTTATTAAAATGAGCTTGTTGAGTGAAAACATCTCACACACATTCTTATCCTCTGTGGTGTTTGTGTGTGTCAGGACTCATCACCCTGGACGAGCTCCACCAGAGGGTGCTGAAGGGTCGGGGTAAATATGCTCAGGACGTGAGCCAGTAAGTTCCTCAACGGGTCAAATTGCGCTTGTTCCAATCTGCATCATGTCTCACTGATCCATGCTGCTTGTGTCGTCTGTACGGCTGAACTCATCCTCCGCAGAGACGACTTGGTCAGAGCCATAAAGAAACTGAAGGTGATGGGAAACGGTTTTGGGATGATTCCCGTTGGCGGCTCTTACCTGGTCCAGTCAGTCCCAGCAGAACTGAACATGGATCACACTGTCGTTTTACAGCTTGCAGAGGTAACACAAAGACTCCAGACCATTTGGGGAGTTTTTGTGAGCATTCATTAGGATGAGGATGATTGTAGCTAGCTAGCATCAGCTGTTGGAAAACAGAGATATGATTTTAATTCATCCATCATCTTCCGCCCACTGGCGAAGATTTACATTGAGAAAACCGCATACACGCGAACTAATCCAGATGTATGAAGCTGTAATTACATTGTTACAAAACTGAAGCTTGTGTCTGTTTGCTGCAGTGTGAAGTGATTTGTTTCTTTCTCGGTTTGTAGAAAAAAGGATACATCACTGTAAGCGAGATCAAAGGCAGCCTGAAATGGGAGAAAGAACGGGCGTGTCACGTGCTGGTGAGTTACCTAACAGTCTGCTTAAGCCACCAGGTCACATCTAAACCTTCTAGCATTAGTAACAAGTTTCTTGTTATTGTATTGCAAAAATTTGAGTACGTATTTTACCTTTGCTAATTGCCAAATTCTGGATATACAATTTAGTAAAGTCTTAAAAATGTATATATTTGCTTGGGACTTTAGTAGATCCTTATCTGATTCAATCGTTGACTCTTATGCTAAAAAGGTTTTTATGTTCTTACCTACAGAAGGGCTTCAGGAGTCTGTATTTTGTTTTGTTTGACCAGAAAATCCTCTTGAGATTTAACAAGAGTGTCCTTGCCAAAATAAAATCTGATAAAGAAGTGAAGTCACAGCAAGTGTAAAATAAAGATGACAAAAATCTTTAAAATTCAAAGTTTTTAAACATATTTTTTTACTTTGTAAGGATTCTTCATTTCAACATTCTTACATTTTTTTATCAATGTTCTTTTGTTTTTACTCATGATATTTTTATGTGTCATCTGGTAGCAAAGCTCCTGAGACTTTTTGTCCTGATCAATGCAAATGGAGACAGGAAATGTAACTATACTTACACAGCAAACAGAAACCCCCTCAAGCCCAACAAACTGTGTACAACGTGCAGAACTGCAGCAATAAAATGTCTTTAGGGTTGAATACAAGTTAGCCAAATAAACACGAAGCCCCCTGCCGGACCTCCTTGTTCTCATATTCTGCATGTCTGGCTCCTCATATTTCCAGGATCATCTGCTGAAAGAAGGCTTGGCCTGGTTGGACTCTCAAGCAGCCGGGGAGGCTCAGTACTGGCTGCCAGCGCTCTTCTCCGAGCTGACCTCTCGTGATGTCACGCCGGAGGAGGCCAATCAGATGACGCCTTAAGGAGATTTGTGGGTGGATTGTTATATTGTGACTGGTGGAAGCGTTCACTGGAGCTGACGGACGGGCGTCACGTCAAGCATCCGACTCGAGAAGGCGGCGCTTTTTCCCTTTCACGGAATACAGTGGATGGCAAAAGTGTTCATATACCTTGAGCCTTCTCATAGTGGTGACATGACAGTCGCTAGTGTCGGTGTGTTTTATAGAAACTCTACATGAAGGGGAAAAAAGACTGTACGTGCTTTTTTACAAATAAAAATCTAAGAAATATGCTGTGTCCAGTATTTAGCCCCCCTGGCTCAATACAAAGAACTGCAGCTCTGGAGGAGATTGAGCTTTTTGTCAGTTTTCTTGTCTCAAGCTCTGTCGGATGGGATGGAGGGCCTCTCTGAAAAACAATTTCAAAATCTCAATTTCAAGATTCTCAATTGGACGGATTTCTGGACTTTAACTGGACCATTCGAGCACACGAGTGTGCTTTCATCCAAACCAGGAAAGAGCCATTGCTGTACTGTAAAACTTGTGTTCATGAAACATAAAAAAATAATTAAAATATTTTTAAAAAATGAGTAATGCACACCATCTCCAGCAAAACGACTTGTATGACTGTCACTTATTCCATCCTTCTTCCCCATTAGCCTGCTCTCTTCCTGCTGAAGAAAACTATCCCCATAGCATGATGCCACCACCACGTTTCACCTTCTGGGTGAAATGTTCAGGAAGCGGTGAGACAATGTGGACAAGTTCAAGGAAAGGGGTGTGAATACTTTTCCGTCACGCGATTGGATGGGAAATTCAGTATAATCTTGGAGGAGGGTTTTTTTTGTAATGACTGGAGAATTTCTCTGTGTGCTACATATGTAAATGTTATATTAAAAAATTCTTTTAAAGAAGAAACTTTACACCAGATTTGTTGTATGAGCTTTTATTATGCAGCAAAACCAGCAGAAAGCACTTCCAGTGATACACACTTCTCCCCCGTTACGCTCATTCTCACCCAGGATACACTTGAAATTCAACAGATATTATTAAATACACTCTGAATTCAGTATGGCAGATCAGGATCTATGTTATGATGTCAAAGGTGCAAAGCTTTGGTGAATACGCTAACGTCTAAATGCTGTTTAAACCTTAACCGTTGCTGAACAAGCCAATTTACTTGATAATTATTTTGAAATTTAACAGATGTGACAGATTTTGTTCACTTTTAAAACAAGAACATTCATGTAGCTGGTTTGATCAGTATTTTTTTTTCTTTTTAACCGCTTTGACATCCTGTTTTATGGGACTGTTGAGCATTGCTGGCACTGACTTCAAAACAAAACAGTAAGTTACGAGATAAAGAAAAAAATAAAAACAAGAATTAAGCCTCAGATTTCAGTAAGTTGATAAAATAAAAGCTTTGGATTTAGTCCTTTTTTCTTCAAATATTCTGAAATCTGATTTCCCAAAAACAAAATAACAATCCACCTCTGTCCTGCATCCACAATCTGCTCAGTTATAGCCTGTAAATATGGAACGTGGATGATTAATAAAGCCAAATTGAAAGATGTAGTGAACAGATATTGATGAGAACTGTTAAGCTCTCAGAAGGAAAGGACTAATTTGCCATTTACACAGATAAGTGGCGGGTAAGTCAAAGAATCAAGTGGCACATCGATATATCAGGCAGTTGTTGAATGATCCAATAGCCCAGACTTTCTGCTGACCAAATGACCTTTAAATCTAACCAATCCTGCTGGGTTACCATTGTAGTTTTCCGACATTTAGTCATTAAGGGTCATTCATCTATGATTAGAAGTGAATTATTCTATCTATATAATATTTAATAATATTATTTCTAAGGCATTTTCTATGTGTTTATTATATGCAACATAGTTTTTTCATTGAATTAAATCATTTGGGAAAAACATTAACAGGAAAAGCAGAGATAAATGTGATATGATTTCCTCTCCATATGATAATGTGGCAGCTTATCATTCTAGCAGGTTTCAGGTCTCGAGAAGCTTTTGCGACTAAAATGACAAGCTTATACTAATATCACTGTTTTTTCTTGTGTGTTTTTTTTTTTTTTTCTCTTTAACCAACGAGACCCATCTGAAATGACGATGCGGCTCTCACAGCTCGTGGCCGTAGACGTGGTCTTCGAATATGGACTGCTCCATGCTGTCGCAGATCATCGTGCAGAACGGACACACTCGGTGGCTCTGCTCATGCTGCTCCAGCTCCTGTTCGGTTATGCCGGGGAAGCTCTCCCGGCAGTGATGACACACCAGCGCCGGCTGCCAGAAATAGGGCGCCACGAAAGGTAAGGGAAGAAGGAAGGGATTATGTTTTAAGTCCACTTTAAAAATAAACAGTAAACAGTCACTCACGTGGTCATCCAGGGATCATGTGTGCTGAGGGATGTTTTCCCCATTTATGTGTTTTGGTAGGTGTGTGGCATAGCATCGAGCTTTTCTACACCGATGAGATAAAATGTTTGTTTGATATGTAATAAAGTGTCATCTGTGTCTCGTCTAAGAGGTTTGTGTGTGACCAGTGACGGCACAATTACTTAGAAAAAGTAACTTTTATCAGATTACTGATTACTCCTTGAAAAAGTAACTTCGTTAGATTACTGATTACTTGATTTGGAAAGTAAGTTACATTAAAAGTCAGTATTTTGTTACTTCCAGCAGCTACTAACAATAACGCTCCGCCACATGTGAAAATCACATTGATCTTTGCCAATACTTAACTGGAAGTTATTTTATAATGATTACACCAACAATGTGTCTCCACTCATAAGGTCGAACTGAAGAGGAGATTGTTTATTGCTTACGACAGGACAAAAAAACTTTGGTAATTTGTGCATGTTTTTGTGTGTTTCTATTGTCTGGAAAACAATTGTGCCGTCCACAACTCAGACGTCCCGCTGCACAGATTTGTGACAATTATCCTAATATTAATAATTACAATGCCGTTCAGTTGCACAACTTTCTGGACACGTTCATTTGTGGCTGTTTTCACGTTTATCGCGCTGTTCCCATTAGTTTCGATGTTTGCAATTTTCTGGAGCGCAACGCGAAGCTCGACGTCATTCAGAGGTCATATATTAACTTGACATTAACAAAGATATGGGGACTGATCATCCGGGAAATGATGGACAGGGAGAGTCTAGTTAAAATTTCAGACAAATTCTGGGGTTTATGTCTGCTTATTAAACCCAAAAACCGCGACTCATTGAATCTGCAAGCGACTTCGAAAAAAAAAAAAGCCCAAAGCTGCTTTTAATGATCGGACTTTGCAAGTGAAACTCAAAATAATTCCTATTTTTCCAACAACAAAATGCGCATCTCCTTCCATTGTTTATGTTTCTGTCGCTGCTGATACCGTCGCATAGACTTTCCCCAAGGCGTGTAGAGGAAATAAAATTTAATTACAAAAGAAAATTGTAACGCACAGTAATGCAACATGATTTCGATAAGAAAAAAGTGCTGTGACATCAGTAAAGCCCTACTGACATCACTGGGGGTACCCGGAACCGGCCTCCGACTCCGGACCGGCCCCCGAGTCCCTCTGAGTCAAGAGGAATTGATCAAGACAGAAATGTTCCCCTATTCCTTCCGATAAAAACGGTGAGTGAATCAAATCCATATCTTTTCTGGTTCCTCAGATAAACATTTGTTTGGAGGCATCGTTTAACACCGTGACTACAAAAAATATGCCACATTCAAAAGATCAAATTATTCCCAGGTATTAGACGACATTAAAGCGGGACTTCCGGGTATGGCCGCAACGTAGCAGGTCGCGTTCGACACTGCTCCTGACAAAAGTCCTGAAAATTCCCTTAAAAATTCCTGGACGCCACAACAACGGTGACTAAGATGAAACTCGAATTTAGATGACCGAACAAGGATACGTCCAAAATAACTACGCAATCCAAGTTGACGGACTGCGATTCACAAAAAGTGGAGCTTAGCACAAACGAAGCTAGCAAAAAAGTTAGCAAGGATCTGAGCAGCAGGATTAGTAGCTAACAGCGGCGGAATGTTGGAGCTGCTTCCCCTAAGAAACCTGCTGATTCTGGAAAGAGGCCACCGCGTTGGCCCGAAAAGGAATGGAGAAGCACCCCGAAGAACTGTAATTATGCGGTTCCTCAACTATAAACAAAAGGATATGATATTCAGAGCAAGTAAAGCAAAAACAGATATCCTCTACAAGAACCAACGGGTGAGATTCTACTTGGATGCCGCTATGGCACAAGCAGCGCAAGCAGTACGATGGAGTCCGCGAGCAGCTCCGCGAGCTCAGGCTGAGACACGGCATCATCCCTCCGGCTAAACTGGTGCTAACGTACCAAGGGGAAACGCTCAGGTTCAGCACACCAGCAGAGGTTCAAGCGTTCATCGATCGGATTCAGAAGGGACAGATAAGTGTAACGGAGTAACTATATATATATGCAGCACTGAGGATTGTAGTGTCAGTAGCCTACGTCGCTTATTTAAATACATCTTTTGGTTAGATCATCACTATGTTTACACTGTATAAATGAAGTAACACTCTTTGTTATACTTTTTATTATATGCATCTTAAACTTCTATGTTCAATATTGTGATAAGATGTTCTACTTCTGTTAGATGAATATTATAAAAAGTATGAAAGTTATGAACACCAAGAGATGTAGCTGGCGTTAGGAGAGCGAGATGAATAGTATAAAAGTTGAATGGTGAAAATAGCGCAAAGTACGCAGGAGAAGAAGCGCGACAAAATTTACAAAGCAACCAGAAAAGTAGAACTCAATAGTGGGCATTTAAGTGGAGGGACCAGTGGTTCCCTGGTCCCCCTGTTCAGTGAAGCTGTGCAGGTCACTTCCAGTTCGGGCTTGTGGGAATAACGTATTTAATCCCCACAGACTCTTTTTCATAGCACATGCTCAATGTGTGCTATTAGTACCCCTAGCAACAGTTGTCATGCTGCTGACAATGTCATCAGCATGACTTCAAATGATGTCTGTGTCATGAGGCCCTTCTAAGGATGACTATGTGATGTGAAAGAACCCATGACATCACTGATTAGCTAAACTCTCCGGTCGGTTAACACAAGATTCATTTGAACGTTTTAGATCAGCAAAGCAAACATGAGTGAGAAACAATTCCAGAACGAAGATTTTGTAAAACCCCATATTTCCCTTTGCCAAAAGATTAGAAAGACTTGTTCGAATCGAGTCCATCCCGGCGATATTACGCCAGATATTTCCTAAGTGAACTTTTGTGGAACGTCATCGAAAAGGTAGCAGATGGCCAAACTCAGCACCTCGGCAAAGAAGTCTTTCAAGAAGAACACCAGAAAGTTTTACTCCAGCTTTCAAGTGAAACAGGTGTCCTCAATGTGACTGCGCTGTCAAAGATATTTGAAGAGCTTACTGAAAGAATATACAGAAAGTCTCACGCAAGATGAATTTCTCTGCAGTACTGCACTAATTTTAATTGGACTCCTCAATGACAGAGAAGGACACTTGGTAATAGTGGAACAATTCAAGCATTACCAGGAGAATCCCTTTCCAACAAAGAAAATGTTCACATCGACCAAAATGAAGATTAGACAGATTTTTTCCAAGCGAGGAGCTATATTCAGATGACAATTGCCTGAGTGACAATGACTATGAACAATTTTTAAAGGACTCAAGCACAATGGATTCTTAGTCGATTGATAAATCCAGAAAGAAATGAAGACATGGCACTCACTCTCTGAAGAACACCGAACCTGTCCAGACAAAGCTGACTCTGAAACTATGGGAAGAAGTTAAGGATATTGATTTTCTCTTCTTTGAAGAAATGGACCGAAAACTCTCCGAAGACATTGATCAACTTCTTTGTGGTAATAATAGTGTAGTGAGAGAATTGCTCTTCAAATTGTTACATAGAAACTGATACAATGCTTCTGGAGAACTTTGTCGCGTCCCAGAAAAATTCATCTTCAAAAAAAACGTCTTGGAAAGGTATGGAAGAGTTTTCCTCATATGTTTTGTTGTGGATTTGACACAGACTTTGTTCAAACTCACGAAACATCCAAGAGTGGACCTCTTGAGCCCCGCCCAGCTTCTCACTCGGGACCAGCACCTGACTCAGGACCAGACCCCGACAGGGGACGGGCACTTGACTCGGGACCGGACCCCGACTTGGGACAAGGCTCTGTCCCGGGACCGAGTTGGGACCGGCCTCTCAGTCCGGACCAACATCTGAGACGGCACCGAACTCCGAGACGGGACCGTCCTCCGAGTCGGGACCCACCTCCGAGACGGGACCGTGCTCGGAGATGTGACCGTCCTCTGAGACGGACACGTGTTCAGAGTTGGTACCTGTACCCGAGTGAGGACCAGCCTCCGAGTCCGAGTCAGAATTGTATTCCGAGTTGGGAGCTGTCTCCGACCCGGGACGGCCTCCGAGTCCATCTGAGTCGGGATCGGCCTCAGAGTTGGGACTAGACTTCTAGTCGGGATCGGCCGCTGAGTCGGGACTGGACTTCGAGTCGGGATCGGCCGCTGAGTCGGGACCAAACTCAGAGTCATTCTGAGTTGGTATCGGCCTCAGAGTCGGGATCGGCCTCCGAGTCGGGACCGGACTTCGAGTCGAGTTCAGCCTCCGAGTCGGGACTGGACTTCGAGTCGGGATTGGCCTCCGAGTCGGGATCGACCTCCGAGTCGTGACCGGACTACGAGTCGGGACCTACCACTGAGTCCTTCTGAGTTGGTATCGGCCTCCGAGTTGGGACTGGACTCCGAGTCAGGACTGGACTTCGAGTCGGGATCGGCCTCCGAGTCGGGATCAACCTCCGAGTCGTGACCGGACTACGAGTCGGGACCTACCACTGAGTCCTTTTGAGTTGGTATCGGCCTCCGAGTCGGGACCGGACTCCCGAGTCCTTCTGAGTTGGTATTGACCTCAGAGTCGGGATCGGCCGCCGAGTCGGGACCGGACTTCGAGTCGGGACCGAACTCCGAGTCGGGACTGGACTCCGAGTCCTTCTGAGTTGGTATCAGCCTCCGAGTCGGGACCAGACTTCGAGTCGGGATCGGCCGCTGAGTCGGGACTGGACTTCGAGTCGTGACTGGACCACGAGTCGGTACCTACCACTGAGTCCTTCTGAGTTGGTATCGGTCTCCGAGTTGGGACTGGTCTCAGAGTCGGGATCGACCTCCGAGTCGGGAGCGGACTACCAATCGGGACTTGTCATCAGCATGACTTCAAATGATGTCTGTGTCATGAGGCCCTTCTAAGGATGACAATGTGATGTCATAGAGCCCATGACATCATTGATCAGCTAAGCTCTCCGGTCAGTTAACACAAGATTCATTTGAACGTTTTAGATCAGCAAAGCAAACATGAGTGAGAAAAAATTCCAGAACGAAGATTTTGTAAAACCCCATATTTCCCTTTTCCAAAAGATTTGAAAATCTTGTTCCAATCGAGTCCATCCTGGCGATATTACGCCAGATTATAGAAAAAGATATTTCCTAAGTGAACTCTTGTGGAACATCATCGAAAAGGTAGCGGATGGCCAAACCCAGCACCTCGTCAAAGAAGTCTTTCAAAAAAACACCAGAAAGTTTCACTCCAGCTTTCAAGTGAAACAGGAGTCCTCAACGTGACTGCGCTGACAAAGATCTTTGAAGAGCTTACTGAAAGAATATACAGAAGTCTCACGCAGGATGAATTTCTCTCCAGTACTGCATTAATTTTAATCTGATTGATAAATCCAGAAAGAGATCAAGATATGGCACTCACTCACTGAAGAACACCGAACCTGACCAGACAAAGCTGACTCTAAAACTATGGGAAGAAGTTAAAGATATTAATTTTCTCTTATTTGAAGAAATGGACCGAAAACTCTCCAAAGACATTGATCAACTTCTTTGTGGACATAATAGTGTAGTGAGAAAATTGCTCTTCAAATTGTTAACAAGTGACAACCCAATTGTTACGTACAAACTGATACAATGCTTCCGGAGAACTCTGTCGCGTCCCAGAAAAATTCATCTTCGGAAAAACCGTCTTGGAAAGGCATGGAAGAGTTTTCTAAATATGTTTTGTTGTGGATTTGACACAGACTTTGTTCAAACTCGCCAAACATCCAAGAGTGGAGCTCTTGAGCCCCGCCCAGCCTCTGACTCTGGTCCGGCACCCGACTCGGGACTGGACTCTGTCCCAGGACCGAGTTGGGACTGGCCTCTGAGTCGGGACCAACGTCTGAGACGGCACCGAACTCTGAGTCGGGACAGTACTCTGAGTGGGGACCGTCCGCTGAGACGTGACCGTCCTCTGAATCGGACACGTATTCAGAGTTGGTACCTGTTCCCGAGTGGGGACTGGCCTCTTAGTCCCTGGGACCCGGTACGGCCTCCGAGTCTGTCTGAATCAGGATCGGCCTCCGAGTTTGGACTGGATTTCGAGTCGGGATCGGCCTCCTGAGTCGGAATCGTACACCGTAACTTTAGGTTTTTGGTCCTGTTTGGTTGAGACTTTTGGTTTACAATTCAGGTTGTTTCATGGATATTGTTTTTTGGTTATAAGACCTTGATTTCTGATTGTATTTTATTTTTTTTAACCTTTTTATTTTGTTAACCCAAACATTAAAACCCTATACCGGTAAACCTTTAACGTCTTGGTCTCTTTTATGTTACTTCTCCTTCCCCTCTGGCTGAGCTTGGTTGTAACAACCGGCCTCTCAGTCAGGACCAGTGATGGCACAATTACTTTGAAAAAATTACAGATTACTGATTACTCCTTGAAAAAGTAACTTCGTTAGATTACTGATTACTTGATTTGGAAAATGAGTTACATTAAAAGTCAGTATTTTTGTTACTTCCAGCAGCTACTAACAATAACGCTCCACCACATACGAAAATCACATTGATCTTTGCCAATACTTAATTGGAAGTTATTTTATAACGATTACATCAACAATGTGTCTCCACTCATAAGGTCGAACTGAAAGGGAGATCGTTTATTGCTTACGACAGGACAAAAAAACTTTGGTAATTTGTGCATGTTTTTGTGTGTTTCTATTGTTTGGAAAACAATTGTGCCGTCCACAACTCAGACGTCCCGCTGCACAGATTTGTGACAATTATCCTAATATTAATAATTATAATGCTGTTCAGTTGCACAACTTTCCGGACACGTTCATTCGCGGCTGTTTTCACGTTTATCGCGCTGTTCCTATTAGTTTCGATGTTTGCAATTTTCTTTGGTTAAACTCAATGCAAAATTGAATGCAGAATTATGACCAAGAATGAAGAAACTTTCTCCGTTCCTAACTTGCATTATTAATCAGATGTCGCTACTGAACAGTCTAAAGCAAACAAATGACATCTGGAAAATGAAAATGTAATCAAATTCTAAAATATCTCTGCAGCACATTGGCATAAATGTTCTCTGAAGTATTTATGCAACTAAACTCACATGTAACTGTATACAGAGCACTTTGCAGTGAAGACCCAACTAGTACGAATCAACAGATTATCAGCTCCTGGTCAGTTATTATCAGTATTTTAACTGTATAGATTGTGTTTGTTTCACAAGTTGATATGTTTTGTGCAGCAGAAAATGATATTACTCACCTCTTCGTCTGGCGCTCCCAGCAAGCTATCTGTAAAAAAAAGGAATAGTCATTTAGATAAAAACAATTTAAGATGTTTGACATTGTTAAAGATTGTAAAAAGTGATATGATCAATGAGGAAGTGAATCCTTCCTTTCGTAATGTAATATATTGGGAAGCAAAATAGTGCATAGTTATGAAAAGGGTGGAAAATTTAGATTTCCTGGGTTCAGAAATCTGACAGGAATGGAGTTCATTTATATTCGGCGACAGAAAAATATTGGAAGAATGTGCTTTTTTTTTGGCAAAACACTGTTGGAAAAGTAATCTTGGTGAAAACATGGTGGTGCCAGCATGGTACTGCGGGGCCGCTTTTCTTCAAAAGAGGTGGGGAAACTGGTCAAAGTTGATGGGAACATGGACAGAGCGAGAAACAAAGCTGGAAAAAGGACAGATGGAGGACTTTGACCTTTGACTGCAGTAAAAAGTGTCTCACCAGGTGACTCAGTACGCCGAGCGTCAGCACAACATGGACCTCTTAGGTTTGTATTTGTAAAAACGTTTAAAAAGCGTTTGTCATTATCCCCTCTACTCCATAATCGTGCACTACTTTGTCTTGGTTTGTTATATAGAATCCAAATAAAATACATTCAATATGAATCCTTTTGCAACGCATAATAGGTAACGCTGACTGATGCCATTTATCGGCATTATGAAAGTCTTTTTAACATGGTGGAAATGATGCATTGTCAAAAAGCTACATATAAATAACTTTGTTTGGCCGAGAGCTTAAAAACAGAACCTCTTAAGAGATTAATTAATGCCGCACTGGCAAACACAACAAATATGACATGTTGCGTTTTATGTGTCACAAAAACATTCACCCTGACAGGCTGTACTCGGATAACAAGAGGCCTCCAGGATGCAATAAAAGGACAAAGTGCACTGCAAATACCAACTGCACGCTACATCATGGAGGCGCCACCGCGGTTCATAAAGATGAGAGGAGCAGGTGAAATTGTGGGATTTATGTGTATGTATAGTTTTTCTTAATTTTGAGATGTGTAAAATAGAAGATCATTTGTGTTTAAGTTTCATTTACGCTCTGACCTATCATGGCATGGGGATTGCTGGATTTTCAGTGATGCAGAGACACAGCCTTGTGACTTTATTTGACCATAAATGTTATACTGATTGTGTTTTAAATTTCTCTGGAAAGCATAATAGGAGTATTTATTTATTTATTTTGTTATTTAAAAGCTCCTAATAAGAAATAAGAACTGTACAAAATTAAAACCAGCAGGTCAATGACCAGAAATGTAGCCATATATTTTTGCTAAAGGACTGAGCATTACTTATTTCTGAAAAAAAAAGATCAGACTGTATTCTGAAAAAAAATCCATCTAAAAATCTTTTCAAATAAATCCTTATTTTGTGATTTGAGTGAGCTTTTAGGACAGCAGACAACCGTCCCCGGTTCTGTCTGGTTCCTCACCTATGGTGTTGTATATGTGCTCCGGCTGATCCGGGATGTCCTGCTGGTCACGGCTGGCAGGAGCGTCGCTGCCTGCTACGATGGGGTCTGGCTGCAAGTAGGGCATCTCTTCAGCCACAGGTGAGGTGATTGCGTAATGTGAGCGAAGCCTCTCGATGTCGTCTTTGAGAACCTGGGAGAATGAAGATGGTTCAGATTTCTGAAATCATGTAGGAGATTTGGATTTGGTGCAGATTTTTTCTACATGTACCTGGACTTCTCTGCTGAGCTCATCTCTCTCTTGTTTGATCAGCCTGATCTCCTGCTCCTTCTCTTCAATGATGATGTCCTTATCTGCCAACATTGTATTCAACTCCCTGCCCTGCATCTGAGAATATACAGGAGAATAACCGTCATACGAGGGAAAAACATCATGAACATCATTCTGTCTGTGGCTCTTTGTTTCATTTAATATAAAAAAAAGCAATCAATGACAAAATCAGACACAAAACCATAAATCCATTTTATAATCTAGTTTGAGGTGAATAAACTTTTTAATAAAATGACACTTTAGTTTTTTGTAGTTTTTGATTTAATTAAGTCACTAAGAAATAGACCTTGGTGTGGCTAATAATAAAATAAAACCCTCACTACATAAATGATCAGTCTCAGTGGATTTAACTCTGAAGTGTAATTATATAAATTGACACTAAAATGCATCTTAATCTAAGACAGATTAAGATACTGTTCCTTCTCTAAATGTGTGCTGAAATTTGTGCAAAATAATTCCCTATTCAGATTAACAAATGTAAATAGAATATTTTTCTTTGAAATGTAAGAAACGTAAACAGAAATTAACCCGGATTTACCTCATATTTGCTGTTTTGGCATCGCTCAATCTCACAATTTCTGGCCAAACTGGTTAGCTGCTCCTTGACGTCCGCCAGCTCGTTTTCTGTGAACTCACATTGCCTGGTGACGGCAATCGTCTTCTCCTTCTCGGCCAGCAGCTTCCCCTGCACATCCTGCAGCTGCTTGGAGAGAGTCTGACACTGCGCCTGAAGAGGACGCTTCATTAAGCCTCGTCACATTTCCCTTAAATCTGTTCAGCGGTATTTTGAAGAGGGATTCAGTTTTCTTGTTTTTTAAAAAAAAACATGTACCATGAGGTCATCTTTTGGAGCCCTCTGCAGTGAATCTAGCTGTGAAAGCCTCCTGCTCAGTTCCTGGTTCTCCCTTCTCACTTCGTCCATGTTCCCTTTGACGCTTTGCAGCTTTTGCAGTTCTAGAGAGATCCGATCCTTCTCTTTGGTGGTGCTCTGAAGATCAACCTGGTAATGAGAGAGCACACATTTTATGACGATTGATGGATGTTTCAGTGACTTCCTGTTAGCATCGCCTGAGATGCATTTTTAACCCTAAATAAGGCTAAGACTGTGCACTCCTGAAAAAAAGAAAACGTAAAAATTAAATTCTGCTTCTTACTAATCCCTTCTGAACTGTTCCCACATTATTTACATTATTGGCTAGACTGGTCCCAAATATCCTCACTTTGTCAGAAAAATATATCCTCATTCACACTTGCCTCTGCTCTACAGAATCAGAGTTTACAGTGGGAATAAGTCTGCCATTATTTAAATGTAGTGAGATAGAAACAAATAGAAGAACTGTAGCTTTACCTGCAGAAGCTCAAAGCGGTCCAATGCGTTTGACAATTCCCGTTCTGCATCTCTGAGTTTAGCTTTCAGCCTGAAATCATACAAAAAACAGTTTTACGGAAAATATGTTTCTTATTATGTCAACAAACCAGTTTGGTCACATGACTAACCAGGTTTTCAACATGGAGATGCTAATATTCTTATTGCAGCTGATATGGGCAGCTGTCAATAATAAGGATCATTCACAGAACAGTTGCATTTTATACTAAGATTAAGTTAAGTTAAGTTATGTCCTGAAGGCAGTTGGTTGAAATGCATTTTTTGGGGGGATTAACAGACTAAAGGGGCAGAATGAAAAATATCCACCGACATTTAAAAGAAAAACCATTTTTTTCAGAAGAAAAACAGAAAGTGCAAACATTACTTGGCAGTCTCATCACTTTGTGCATCCAGCTTCCCTTTCAGCTCCTCGCGCTCCTCTTTCATCTGATTGATCTTCATCACTGCTCGATCATATTTCTCCTTAAGAAATAATATGGATACAGATGAGCATAGGAAGAGGCTGCCGTACGTTCTAGTTTGATGAGAAAGTGAAACCGTGTTACCTCATTACTTCTAGATGACAAAGAGCTCAGTTTTTCCTGCTCTGTGGAGTTTTGTCTCTGGATTTCCATCCGCTTGGTCATTTCAATCACCATCTCCTCCTAGCAAGTAGCAGAAGCAGCATCCAATTTAGCTTTTCATCTTGACAATTCAGCTTAAGTTTCACCACGAACTGACGGCAAACCTTTAAGCGGTCGTTCTCCTTCATCTGCAGCTGCAGTGTGTTCTTCAGTTTTTCATTGCTCTCCTTCACCTGATCCATTTCTTTGATCAGTTTAGCCATTTCTGCCTCTCTCTGGTCGTTCTGCTCCTGAACAAATCAAACACGCTCCGTCAACTTGTCAAAGTTCACTTTAAAGTTTAATGACCCTTTGTGCTGCACAATGAGCAAAGGAACCCTGATGGGTTTACCTTGGAGCTGCTGATATCCTCCTGATCCTTCAGCAAAGCGCTTTTTAAGCTTTGGTTTTCTGCCCTCATCAGATCCAGCTGCTTCTGCAGCTCAGCTTTCTCACGTTGACTCTGTTCAACTTGCTCCTGTGGTGAAATACAAGTTGCAGAAATCAAAAAGCCGGAATCTAAATCACCAATTACTTTCAAGTCCAATTATAAAGATGTAAAGCAGCTGTAACAGTCAGGTGTCATGAGGAATGTCTGTTTTATAAGAATTAAATTGACTCTTTATCCACTTTGTTAAGAACATTTTTAAAGAGCTTCAGAAAACCTGAAGACCACTTGATTCATATCACTTTAAAAGATTTATAAAATACAACATGATGGGAACTACAAGCACCTTAGGTGACATATATATGCTCACTTCCTTATAATAATGTTTATTTACATAAATCCCAGGCAGTACAACTTTATGGAAATGACCAAACGGCAGTGTGAATGCAGAACCTTCACCTTCAATTCAGTTTATTGTAGATTTACTCTTATTGGAACTGTAGGGAAAGTCACTTCAGTTCCCCGCGAATTAAACAAGAAAACTAAAATGATTTTTTAAAATGTGCTGTCCAGTTTTGGTTATTTCCAGCAGTTGCGTGAGCTAGGTTTACATAACTAAATCTATGTAGATATTTGCATACCTGAGTCGTGATAACCAGCAGGTCATCATCTGCGATGCTCTCTGTGTTTTGTTCGGATGGATTTCTGAAACAGAAAGGAGTGCTGGCTCCTCGGACCTGGCCGCTGCTGTCAATGTAGCAGAACTGGTAGAACTCTATCTCGTCTTTAGGCAGGTAGTACTCTGGTGGGAAAGTGAAAGGGCAAATTGGTTGAACTTTTATGCTAGATAGTTGTCTAAGCAGTAAAAATGTTGAAAACACTTTAAAAATTAGCAACAAATTTAAAAAAAAATGGTTGAACATTAAAAATGATCAGACATCTCAGACAAAATATACTAGGAAAACTGCTATAGAGTTTTACAAAATTTAACTTTTTTTTTTTTTTTAGAAGTCTCCAACTATCAACTACAAAACACAAAATATTGAGTTGCAGAACTGTTTATCACAACCCAACAGAAGATCTGCATGCAAATGGTGCTGTGCCATAGCTTTAATTGGTTTTCTTCTAGTTAGAAGATGGGGCCACAAACCCAACTCTATTGCACTTTTCCAGGGCCCTTCAGGAGGAACTGGCATGGGCATTAATTTCACAAATTTAAAAAGTGAATGATTATCTGTCTGCTGATTGTACTCTGTTGTGTATTCCTTATTACTTGTGTTAGATCATTTGATGTCTCATCTTCTTTTGTCAAGGTATAATGTAGAAGATGTATGTCAGTAAGAGACAGAAGAATGCAACTGTGGACATGTGTTGTTAAAAAGAAATAAAAATAAAGTTTAAAAAAAAAGGAAAAAAGTGAATAATTTTTCTTTCTTTATTTAAAAAAAAAATTCAAATTCTTTGCTGCAGAATTGCAGCATAGTTTCCCACACTACAATACTTTTTCTAGGCAAAGGTGTCAAATGCAGCACATCAATTACCAAAAAGAAAAAAATAAAAAACACTCGTCATTCTAGTTTTACTCAGAAAATTTTAGGGGAGTCTGAGCTAAATCCTCCCCTCTTTACCAAAGTTAAAGTGGCAAGTTAAAGTTAACAAAATAATAATAATAAGCTGAATATTGCAATTTCTACTTTATTAGTAAATCAAACATATTTGACATTTTTCACCATCTTATGAACTCTATGTTTAAAGTAAATCACTCCCAGACGAAAATCCACTGGACATAAAACAGGATTAAACAGGATCCGTCTTCATACTGAAGTTATTTGCAAAGACAGATTTCAAGATTGTTTTTGCTCACAAAGTGTAGACATGACACACAACGAGGAGTGTACACAGGAAACAACGTCTTTCACCACACGGAGAAAGTGAAACTCACCTTTAAACACAGCTTGTCTCATCTCTGTCTGTTGAGCATCATGGACCGCCTCCACCCACACAAATGTGTGATAATCCTTAGTTGAGCTCCACCCCACCTGGTCAAAAACACAAAACAAACAGAAGAACAAACTCATCTAAGATACTATCCAGTGGCAGGCATTTTTATTCACTAAGAATAAAACACAGTATATTGACAAAGTATGACTTCAGGTTTTTACTTTCTGTGTTTTTGGGTTGATGACATCACAACAGGCTAACAGGTAGCATGACTAAACATGGAGGATGTGCAACATTGACTGATTTGTTTTTAAAGGTTTTGTCAGCTCCAGCTTTCACAGCTGTCAGACAGGAAGGTGGGTTGAGAGAAGGGGGAAGACGGGGCAAAGGTCACGGAGGCCTCCTCGTGATGTCACCAGAACCCTGTGTGTATGGAGACACACAGGGTTCCAAGTGTACCTTTATATAAAGGTACAGAAAATGGCACACTAACTAGAAATAATCTACATCTTACGTGAGTGTGATTTAAAAAGGAGAAACCTGATTTATTGTGACTGTAAACAAAAAGCCCACCTTAAAGATGCCCACCCAGTCCCTGGGATTTGGCTGGAAGGCGGCATTGAGAGTGAAGCGGCAGGTGATGGGGCTGGAAGGCGGGTATGAGTGCGGGATGTCGATGAAAACCACCTGAGAGAAGGTGGGAGCCGGGGGATCAGTCGCTGCCGCCGCCGCTGGGAGGGTCTCCATACTGACCCACCGTCTGACAACGAAACACACGACATCCCATGAGGCTGGTTGAAGCTCGTTCAACGTCAGAAAGCAGCTCCCTTATGTTGCCAGCCTGCATTCTTCCTGGCATTGTTCATACGCCTGAACTTCGCATTTAGAATTTTGCTTTCGGTTGTTGGAAAACTGCTTTCTCATGTCTTTATGATTAACTAATAAATCGCTTTACAACAAACATAAGCAACCAGCTTCAATGTGCTCGTGTCATTCTTCATGACGTTTAGCGCGTGAGCTATAAGGATTAGATAAAAACAAAAAAAAAAAAAAACTTCTGAAAACCGAAACCGAAATAGTATTTCAGAGTGTACCGCAAACATGTTATTAAAAGCGGCAAAAAATAATGTTTGAAGCTGTAGTTCGTTAAAAAAAAAACAGTGAGTTATAAGAAAAGTTTAAGAGAAAGACATAAAACTTACATTTGTTGACAGTTGACGCTGTCCTGTGGTTTCCCGTCTGTTTCTCACAGACGTAGCGACTGAGGTGTTCACGTACGCCTCGGAACTGCCACCTTATGTAAAAAAAAAAAAAAAAAAAAAAAAAAAAAAAAGGACACACTACGCACGTCAAATAAAAAACAAAAATGTTACTTAGCCTAACATAAAAACTATTTATATTATTTTAAAATGTTATTTTGCAATGAACTATAAATATTTACATTGATATTGTTGACCGTTGCAACTTCTTAGCTTTAAAAAATGCAGGGGTGCAACTTTAGAAAAAAAAAAAAAAGGTTCTGGCTGAAACAAAATCAAAACAAATCACAACAACATACTGTAAACACATACAACTCTGTAAATGGTCTCCTGACTCTACACTTAACAAATATATATTCCGTATTTAGAATTGTAACAAGACCCGATTCGTTATTTCAGATTATTCTGAATACGCCAGCCACGACCGTTTTATTCAAACACGCTAGGGGGAGCCAAACTCCTCTTTGTTCAAGAAACAATAACAACAACACAATAATAATAATAATAATAATAATAATAATAATAATAATAATAATAATAATAATAATAATAATAATAATAATAATAACATCTCGGGGATATATTTATATGCTGATGGATTGATTGGATTTTCTTTCTTTTTTTAAACAAATGTATTTTCGAGTAAAGCTACATAATCTTATTTTAACTTTTTCTGATGCAGTTGTTCGTAAAGGTTTATGTTTTCTGCGGGAATTTTGTGTGATATGACATAGTTTGGAAGTAAAAAAAAAAAAATATATATATATATATATATATATATATATATAATTTTTATAATAAAATTACAGCAACTACATTTATGACAGCTATGACATTTCATTTTAAAATGAGAATTATCACAAAATGGAGAGACAGTGTCTGTGTAATGTTTCAGCAGTGTTTATGCTATTATTAAATTTTATTGTATTTTACAAACTATCACATTTCTCTCTTTTTTTTTAGCCAGCATTAAGTGTTGCAATAGTCTTTATCTACAAACAAAAAATATGTGTCAAAATAACAATTTGTCATAGCCTACATTTAAAAACAAAAACTTAAAAAAAATAAAAAGTAAAAAAAATAAAATAAAAATCTTAAATAACTAATCAAATGTGCCAGATAATCCAAGCAGATTAATATCTGCTGAAGAAAAAACAAAAAAGAGAGACAGAAACGTATGTTTTTCTCTGGATAAACTTGAGATTATCTAGAGAAAGAAAAACTACAAGGTTCAACATTTTTAGTACTTTCCTCCTCAAATAAGAATATCTGTCTAAAATGCCAATTTAAAGTTCAAAATCCTTTTAGACGTCTAAAATGTACCCCTCCTTTTTGTTTTGTGGCTGATTTTTTTTTTCCTCCCCCGTCTTTTACGTGTGTCAGCCACCAGCCAATCACAGACGAGAGTCTCACACCTTTGCCTCCCGATTGGCTGGATCTGAGCCCCGTCCGAGTTGATTCATGTTTACATTTGTAGGTTTACTGTCCTCTCAGCGTCCAGCCAGCACTTCACGACCATCCGTGGGAACAGCTGCAGAGAGAGCAGCGCGTTTTAGAGGCTCACATCGGGAACCGGAGGAAACGCTCTTTGGAGGGTAAATGTCGCTTTTCACATACCATTCCCCCCCCACCCCCCTCTTTTTTTTGTTTGTTTGTTTTTGCCTCTGAAAGTACGCGTTTAAAAGTCAGTTGCTAACAGGAGCTAGCCCAGCGCTGTCACAGCCGGGGAGAGGTCGGCATTCCGTTACCACAGCAACGGCGCCGCACATACAGGCTGCGCAGTTGTAACTGTAGGGTGGTTTTAGGATGTTTTTTTTTTAAAGTTATGAAGACTTTGCTCAATGTATTTCTGTGGCAAAGACTTGATGAAAGGCGTTCATGTTCGTATAAATTTAATTGACCTCTTTGTTTACGTCAGATGTTAAACCAGTGTTTTGGCATTCCTCCTCAAAAGGGTGCTGCTGGCTGGAGACAAGACAAGGCCAGTGAAACTTGCATCACTCCGGGGCATTGTGCTATGACAATTGCTTTCTTCAGCAGAGATCTAGACGTTTACATCATGGTGGATGCAAATGAGAAACTGCAGAGGACTTGAGAGTGGGATGGAGGGTTATCCTTACCGTAAGACAACAGTGATGGGGGACCTGCTGGAATGCAAATGCACACAAAAGTGTTCCCGTTTTTATCTGTAAAAGAAATATGACATCCATCATCAATTTGCCTGTGTGGGTCTATTAAGCAATAAAATCTAAATAGGAATAGAAAACTACTGTACTAACCAGAAGAAAATGTGAAAATGTTCTAGGGATTCTTTTCGAAAGTCTTTAAAAGAAGACGGTGATACACACAATCCCCCCATAAATTAACCATCTTAAATGCATGCAAAACTACTGTGAAAGGGAGACAAAATAAGTGTGAGGAAAGGGACCTGGCACTGAGAAAAGAAACAAAAGCCAGTTCAATAAAATGGAGAAGGAATGCTCAGATAACCTGTATCTTGTGAACGACACAGAGTTATGAAAGTCAAGTAAATAAGATGGTTCCATAAATAAGCCACAAGGTGCCAGAATCAACAAAAGCTACAAATAAAACATAAATAATTCATATATAACCACGAAGAGAGGCAGTAAGTATAAATAATTCATGCAAAGTGACAAACATATGATTTGAAGACAAAAAATGCAATAATGTTTAAATGGCGTTAAACATTATTGCACAAATCAACTCCAAATAGTGTAAATAACTTAAAGAGGAATGAAAGATCATTAGGAGACAAAAATGTCCCTGAATGACTTTAAAGAAGGTAGTGCGTCTGTGTGAGAAGCAGAGAGAGCTGAAGGCAAAGAAATGGGTGAAAGTCAACAGTGAGCATTTCATTTTTAGAAACCTGTCCAGCTCAACTCATGTTTCTTCCAATTAGCCTCTGGGGAAAAAGTAATCTACCCCTAAACCTGACATCTGGTTGTTTCACCAGGGCAGCGACGACAGCCATTGATTGGTAATATAATGAGTTTCAAGCATGAGCAGCCTCCATCTCCATCAGATATAAGTCTTGACTTTGACTAGGCCACTCTAAAACCTGCAACTGTTTTATTAGATTTTGATACGTGGACCTGGCTCACCACAGTTCCATGTTTTCTCCAAGCAAAGAGATGAACTTAGGGAACAATTGAAGCCATTGCAGTATTTCACATTTGGTTTTATTATATTACCAAGCCACTTCTTCCCATCTTCTACCTCTTATAGTATTTTTCAAATATTATTTCTCACCTCCAAACACACAAGCATCATTTAAGCAGCAGGTGCTAAAGAATGCTTCCAAAATACACACAAACACACACTCACTCTCTCTTTTTTCCCCCCTCACTCTCATCTCCGGTGCTTTCCGTGAGCCGCAGCCGCCAACCTGTCTGATAAGTTTCTTAGCTTCAGAATCAGAACGCAAAGGTCTGGCCTCCCGTTTTAATACGCAGTGACATGAAGCAACAGCAGCGCTTAGAGGCCATAACATCTATGTGGCTGAGAAAAGTCTGCCTAAAATCAAAGTCAATCCTGTCAGTGGCAGGTGTGGCAGTGATGACATTGAGATTGTAATTTATAATCCCTAGACTAGAGTACAGCAAATGACCTCCTGACCTAATTCAATGTCAGAGATGCAGGCGCACAATTTAATTGCCTTTAGTCACACGATGTGATTCATTTCAACTAATATCCATGCTGAAAGCTAAGTTGCTAACCTTGAACGTCTCATAATGGAGCACGTTGTAGACGTGTGTAGGATATCAGTGGGTGATTAATTAATCCTTAATTAGTTAGAGAATTAAAGAGTTGTATCAGTGCCTCCTTGTCACCTCTTCCTCCTCGACATCCCTTTTCAGTTTGACTGATACCTGCCCTTTGTTTGCTTCTTTCCTCCCTCGTCTCCCGATGAACATTTTCCCCCCTCTCGCCTTGCTCCATTTTTAATGTCGTTAATGGAGAGCCCGGCTTTATTTTAGCCCAGCCAACACCGCTCACTCGCAGCGCTGCCGAGCTTTTCAGCACAGATTTAAGCTGAACAACTCGCGGCGCTGAAAGGCACCTCTCCTGTTTCAGTGAACAAGCATCAGGGATTATCCCTCTCGTCTTACCCCTCCACCCCCACCACGTCAAGGTCCCCTGCTCGTTTTCTCTTCCATCATGTCAAAACGTATCAGGTTTTCCTGACTGGTTACCAGATCCACTTCTTCTTCTTCTTCTTTTTCTTCTTCTTCTTCTTCTTCAGCCTTTAAGTTGGTCTAAGCTGAACCACCGTTGTGATAACAATGAATCTTATCTGTTTTCTGCAGGGCATTAGTTTCAGGTGGTGTGCGGAGGTGGGATGAGGTTCTTCACTGATTTGTTTGCTGTGGAGCGCGGTGGCACTTTGAGAAGCTCCTGAAGCCGTCGGGAAACAGGCGTGGAGACCGTCGGCTGCAGCGTCCTCCAACACCCATTTCCTCATCAATGTAGGAGCAACACTGCGGGTGAGTGACGCTGTTCTCTTTACACAAGACGTCTGAAACTAAAGCTGTCTTGTGTGCTCCAGTCTCTGTGAGGCTCTGAAACCCAGCTTCTGTTTTGAGGTAGTAGGAAATAACAGTGACACAGACGTGGAGCCCCAACTGTTGCTGGTGGAAGTACATTAAACATTAAACAGGGACATAAAAACACAAACAGCACAGACAGCTGTTCCATTAGTAATCCGTTCATTTCTACTGTTTGTATGTCTTTTAAAATCAGTTTGCCACAAGTTGCAGCCACAAATTCCAGCAGGTTTTATTGGGACTTTTAAGAAGAGTGCCATTGTGAGGTTGAAGGAAAATGATACACTGTTCTCAATTTTCCTTCCAAGGGCAAATCTGAAGTGGGGCATTTGTATTTAAGTTAAATGGAGAGATACACTGGAGCACGGGTACGTCTCTGCCAGCTTCGCACATCCAGATACTGAAATCTTTCCCCGATGTTTGTCACAGAATAACTCCATCTCAGTCAGATTGGACGGAGGACATCTTTC